GAGTTTTTTGCACAGTAATGGAAACCATCAATAAAATCAAAGAAAACCTACTGAATGGGAGAAGATATTTGCCAATGATATATCCAATAAAAGGTTAGTATCCAAAATATATAAGAAACTCATACAACTTAACAGCAAAAACCCCCAAACAATCCAATTAAAAAATGGGCAGAGGAACCCTGGCTGGTGCAGCTCAGTGGATTGAGCTTGGGCCTGTGAACCACACCATCGCGGTTTGATTCCCAGTCAGGGCATATGCCTGGGTTGCAGGCTGGTTCCCTGCAGGCCAATTCCCAGCAGGGGACGCATGAAAGGCAACCATACATTGATGTTTCTCTCCCTCTCTCCTTCCCTTCCTCTCTAAAGATAAATAAATAAAATCTTTAAAAAAAAATGGGCAGAGGACATGAACAGACATTTCTCTAAAGTGGACATACAAATGGCCAACAGACATGAAAAGATACTCAATGTCATTAATTATCGGGGAAATGCAAATTAAAACTACAATGATATTATCACCTCATACCTGTCAGAACGGCTATCACCAAGAAATCAACAAATAAGTGCTGGCCAGGATGTGGAGAAAAGGGGGTGGACCCTGGTGTACTGTTGGTGGGAATGCGGATTGGTACAGCCACTAATGAATCAGTTATGGAGGTTCCTCAAAAAATTAAAAACAGAACTACCATATAATCTACCAATTCCACTTTTGGGTATTTATATGAAGAAATCCAAAACAGCAATTTGAAAAGATATATTTACCCCTGTGTTCACTGCAGCTTGATATGCAATAGCCAAGACATAGCAACAACTGTAGTGTTTGAAGATTTGAATTAATGAAGATGTGGTACATGTATTAGTATACAATGGATTACTCAGCCATTAAAAAAATACCATATGACTTCACTTATATGTGGAATCTAAAAAACAAAATGAACAAACAGAACAGAAACAAACTCATAGATGCAGAGAGCCAAGTGACAGCTGCCAGACTAGGGTGGGGAGGCAGTTGGAGAGACGAGTGAAAAATGTGAAGGGATTAACGAGTACAAGTTGGCGGTTACCAAAGTCACAGGATGTAAATGCAGCACAGGTAATAGAGCCCATAATACTGTAATAATTATATATGGGGCCAGATGGGTACTAGAATTATCAGGGTGACCCTAAGTTATATAAATGTCTAATCACTATGTTGTACACCTGAAACTAATATATTGTATGTCGCTGTAACTGGTGACTGCTAGTGGGGAGTGGTGATGGGGTGGAGGGGTTGAGCACAAAGATGAAGGATTCGTGGACGTGGACAACACTGTGGATATTGCTGGGGGGGAGGGGAGTACAAGAGGACTAAATGGCAATAGAAAAAAATAAAGATTAAATAAAAAAATTAAAAACAAAGTAAATTCTACTTAAGGCTTTGTTCTTCTCCCGTTTTTCTTTTCATTTTTAAATATAACTATGGACTCATTCATTTCCCACTTGGGCTTCAATTCCTAACCACACTGCCACAGCTAGCTTTTTGTTGATGCCTTCTTCCCTCAGCCTCACCTGCTAGCTTTTGAACTGAGTTACTCAGGAATGAAGGATGGTGCTGAGTTTTTATCACAAATGAATACTGAATTTATGATGTTTTTGTACCTACTGATGCTCAAATGATATTTCTTCTTTGTTAATGTGGCAAATTACACTGATTGGTTTTCATATGTTAAACGAACCTTACATTCCTGAGATAAACCCTACCTAGTTAAGGTGTAGTATCTGTATCTGCATATTGCTGAACTTCTTTTGTCAGGGGTTCTTGCATTTATGTTTGCGAGAGGTATCCGTCTGCAGTTTTCTTGTAATGTCTTGGTCTGGTTTGGGTGTGGGGTAATGCTAGTCCCATAAACAGCTGGGATGTATTTCCTCTGCCTCACTTTTCTGAAAGGGTTTGTGTAGAACTGGCATTATTTCTTCCTAAAATGTTTGGTAGAATTCAGCAGTGAAACCATCAGAATCGACTCAGGAGTCAAGCAAACCATCAGGATCAACTCAGCAAAGGAGAATATGGTGTGGCCAGTGAAAAAGGAGGTATGAGATTGTGTCATGGAGGCCAAGAGAACAGTGCTTTTTGAAAAGGGAATAATCAACTATATCAAATCTGCTGAGAAGTTCTTGAGAATTAGAAAATGACCGCTTTATCTGGCAACACGGAGATTAGTGGTGACCTTATAAAAGCAGTTTTACTGAGAATAAAAGAAGAAAATCTGAACGGAGTAGGCTGAAGAGAACATGGGAAGCAACAAAGACATTGAATACTACATACAACTCTTGTGAATTTTGTTATAAACTGGAACAGAGAAGAGGAAGTAAGTAGACAGAGTATGAGACACTGGTTGAAAGACAGTGGTTTGTGTTTATAGACTGAAGCTACAAGAGCATGCTTACATGCTGACACAAACCATCCTATGAAGAGGGAGAAATTGCTATTAAAAGAGCAAGAAGATGACAAAAGGGATTGTCATCTCGGTCTCTAAGAGGAGCTGGTTGACCTTTAGATAAAACAATAAACAATTTACCCTAAACACAGGAGAAAAAACAGATAGAATGGGTACATATGCAGAGTAGTTTGGTAGATTTTATGACTGGAAAATGAGGGACTTTTCTTTTGACTCTTCTCAATAAAGTACAAGACAAGATCATCAATCAAGAAGAGTGGATTGTAGGTTTAAGAAGAGAGAAGATTTGAATAGTCATTACAGAGAGGGCTGAATACATGTACTAATGGTATTTTTATTTCTAAAAAGAAAATTAATAAATATTTTCATTATTAGTTATCTTTAGTCATATAAAAGTAGAAACTTCAATGACCATTAACTTGGGGCCAGTTAAACTACAGAATATAAACTCAGTGTAATATTATTTAATAAAACAATGAAATAAAAGTGTGCATGTATACAGGGGTGGAAAGTAACACAATAATTGTTCATGTGGAATATAATACATAATTAGTAAATAATACAAAAATAAACTGTTTTGCATACACACAACCGTCAACCTGCTTTTACCCACCCTGTGTACATATAAACGAATATGCAGGACATCACTAAATAACTTACTTGTAAAGTGGTATAATAAAATTCTATCCACGTGAAAAAATATTACGTATGTGAGTGCATTTACATATGCGCACAGATACGTTTTCATAAACACAGGAAAAAGCCTGGAATAAATACACAACCAACTTCTGTGGAGGTTAGGTCTTGAGAGAGGCACGACTCCACTACATAGTACATGAAACAAGAAAAATCAGTAAGCCAGACACATATAGAAAATCCCATGTCCTTTCCACACTCCAATAGTATCAACACCATAATTCAAAGATTCAGACAAAGACTTCCATCATGTACATTTTAATGAAAAATTAAAAGCAATCTAAATGTATGAAAATTATGCAATTATTTTAAAAAATCACGAAAAGTTACATATTTTAAGGAGGAAATATTTCAGACACACAAAAAAGTATAAAGATTTTTTTAAAAAGCACCCATATATCAAAAACACCCAAATTAAGAACTTAATATAATTTTTTAATGATATGGGACTTCATGATAATGTTAAGTAGAAAAAAACCTTCAGAATATAAAATTCAAGTATGATTTCAGCTATGAAAAATAGCATGAAAAGGATAAAAAATATATATGAAATTATCAACAATGGTTTTCACTAGGTGCTGAGAACGTGTGTGGATGACATTCATATCTCTTGATACTTTTCCTCCTAGGTTTCTACAGTAAGTTATCACTTTTAGAATCATAAACATTTTATTTTTTTAAATTTTTTTAAATTTTATTTAGTTATTTTTCAAGTACAGTTTTTTGTCTATTTTTCCCATCCCAGCCTCCCCCGCCCCTTGCTCCCCACCTCCCTCCCATTTCCACCCCCCCCCCTTAGTTCTCATCCCTGTGTCCTTCCTATTTGTTCCTCCAAATCCCTCCCCCTTTTTCCCCTTAACTTCCCTTCCTTCTCCCCTCTGGTCACTGTCCCCTTGTTCTCTATTTCAGTGTCTTTGTTTTTTGGGGTTTTTTTTCCTGCTTGCTTGTTTGTTTTGTTGTTTAGCTTCCTGTTAAAGGTGAGATCATATGGTATTTGTCTTTCAGCACCTGGCCTATTTCACTCAGCATAATGCTTTCCAGTTCCATCCATGTTGTTGCAAAGGGTAGTAGCTCCTTCTTTCTCTCTGCAGCATAGAATTCCATTGTGTATATGTACCACAATTTTTGGATCCATTCATTTACTGATGGGCACCTAGGTTGCTTCCAACTCTTGGCTATTGTAAATTGTGCTGCTATGAACATTGTGGTACATAGGTTCTTTGATATTGATGTTTTAGGATTCTTAGGATATAATCCCAGCAGTGGAATTGCTGGGTCAAAAGGCAGGTCGATTTTTATTTTTCTGAGAAAAATCCATACTGTTTTCCATAATGGTTGTACCAGTCTGCACTCCCACCAACAGTGAACTAAGGACCCCTTTTCCCCACAACCTCTCCAACATTTGTTGTTTGTTGCTTTGTTTATGATAGCCATCCTGACTGGTGTAAAGTGGTATCTCATTGTGGTTTTAATTTGCATCTCTCTGATAGCTAATGATATTGAGCATCTCTTCATGTGTCTCTGAATGTTCTGTATGTCCTCCTTGGAGAATTGTTTGTTCAAGTCCTTTTCCCATTTTGTAATTGGGTTGGGTGTCTTCTTAACATTTTATTTTTTTAATAAAAATTTTTATTTTTCTTTAGAGGGAGAAGGGAAGGAGAAAGGGAGAGAAATATCAATGTATGGTTGCCTCTCGTGCGTCCCCTGCTGGGAACTGGCCTGCAACCCAGGCATGTGCCCTGACTGGGAATCCAACTGCTATCCTCTGGTTCGCAGGCCTGTGCTCAATCCACTGAGCTATACCAGCCAAGGATATAATCATAAACATTTTATTTTAAAAGTACAAAATTCTACTAGCACCATTACCTTGGGATCATGAACAAATGTATTTCCTTTGGTTCCAGGAGGGAAATCTCCAGTACAAATATATTTTAGACATTCAATAATGGTCTAAAGAAAGAAAAAAAATTATATTATGTAGTCATAAGCAAACCACAGAAGTTAATAATGAAATATTCATTATAACAATATTATTTACCATAAAGACTATAATGATACAATCAGATCAAATTTGACATAAAACCTACACTATAGATGATTAAATGTTAAAAAATAATTGTTGTAAGTTCATAGAAAAACTATATAATTAAGAAAATATAATAAAATAAAATAAATATTTGGAAAAAATCTCTATTTCCAATTAAAACCCTACAATTTCATAACAGCTAATGTGAACATGGTTAGCATAGTTAACAACAGTATTGTATAATTGAAATTTGCTGAACTTAAATGTTTTTGCTAAAGAAAGAATAAATATGTGAGGTGATGGATTTGTTAATTAATATAGAGAATCCTTTCACCATTAGGTATTACCAATCAGCAGGATGTATACTTCAAGTATTTTACAACTTTCTATGTCAATTATACCTACATAAAACTGAAATGTTTTAAAAAGTTTTAAAAAAACCCACAAAACCAATGGCTAACAGTTACATAGACCTTACTATGTGCCAGGTATTGTGCTAACTGCTTTTGCACACTGCAACCATTTGATTCTCACACTAATCCTGGACTGCAGAAATTACTTTTATCCCCATTTTATAAATGAGAAAGCTAAGGCACAGAACATTTACTGAATTTTTTAAACCATAAGACGCACTTAGGTTTTAGAGGAAAATAGGAAAAGCAATTTTGAAGCAAAAGATGTGGTAAAATATTTAATAACATAGGCCACCACCCTCCCAGCAAGCCAGGTAAGCTACATTTGGACTATAAGACACACCCCCTTTTCCTCCCAAACTTTTTCTGGGGGGAGTATGTCTTATAGTCCGAAAAACACGGACTATACAAGTCACTCCTGCAGTCACACAGCTAACAAACGGTAAAGCAAAAAACTTGTACTCAGGCAGCCAGTGCTCATAAACACACTAATCTCCTCTACAGTAGATAACAATGCAATGCTAGGTATATAACAGGCATTCAAAAAAACATAACATTTTCACATTAAAGGCAGGCAAGAGTCAAACATTCAGGTCTCAACACTATATCTTACCTCTTTCTCTACACTTTTTAAAAAGATTTTATTAATCTTCTTAGAGAGAGAAACATCAGTGTGTGCCTCCCACACACCCAGGCATGTGCCCTGATTGGGAATCGAACCAACAACCCTTTGGTCTGCAGCCCAGCACTCAAGCCACTGAGCCACACCAGGTAGGGTTCTTCCTCTATACTTTCAACAAAACTTCATTTTCTCTTCTCCCTGTTACACTGATACCTCCTTGCTTTTTCTCAAGCCCTGTTTCAGAACAGCCTCTCAACTATACTTTTTCTATAATTGCTTGCCACTTCAGGGCCCAACTCTAATTTCTAAATATTCCCAGTTTAAAAAAAAAAATCACAGTAAATAAGTCGCACTGAAATTTTTTGGCTACGTTAAGAGCATCCTAACAACAAAATACAGGTACACCTCAGAGATATTGCTGGTTTGGCTTCAGACCACTGCAATTAAGCGGGTCGTATTTTATTTTTGTTTCCTGGTGGAGGGACTTGACTTCAGTTTGTAAAAAAAATCGCAGCACCTGTTAAGAGCAATAACACCACGTACAATAAAACGAGGTATGCCTGCACTTTCCCAATTTTAGGCCCCACCGCCTTGGTCTCCTCTTAAAATTAAGCTATTTCTTATGTATTATGCGTATACAGTCGGCATACTTGTAAACTCACATACTTATATTTTGTAGCTTTTTAGTAGGTTCCTTTATTGAGACAAATACCAGGGAGTGAGTGCTGTTTCAGGAGCAAGGATGAAAAAACATCAGAGGCTTGATGTTTTTTCGAACAAAAGGCCTCTTGTAGGGCTGAGCTCTCTGAGAGCCGTAGCTCCCAGTCCCCAGTACGTCTTGTCCAGCAGACCAGCGGGGACACCCTTAGGATACTGGGTCTGCTCTACTTTTCAAGTCTCTGGCCACGGCCCGGAGCCTGGGAGTCACCCAAAGGGCCGCACTTCCGGGGGCCCCAAGACCAGAGGAGTGGGGGCGCCTCTCGTCCTCATCCGCGTTCTTAACTCTCCAGGTATTTTCCTTCTCCAGATTCCTAAGATGTAGCGACCCGCAAACGGAAGGTGACTGACTAACTCCGGACTTACCGTCTTCCCCGCCCCATTGGGGCCAACCAAAATTGTGAGGGGACTGAAGAAAGTGATAATTTGCTTATCTTTGTCCTCTATTCCAAAACTCCGCACGCCCAGAATGCTCATCTTTTCGATCCGGGACATGTTTGTCAATTTTATCTCAACACCAATGATCCAGCAAGGTTCAGCGGAGCTGGGAGAGCCCGGGCCAAGAGGGTCCGGGTGGGAGCGAAGGCTCTCGCTGGAACCTTCCTCCCACGCCGACTTACTTCCCGTCTGGGGGAAAGAGCTGGTGAGGGTCGCGCCGGGGATGCCCACGGCAGACACAAAACACAGGCTGAAGAACCCCACGTCAGCGCCCACTCACAGATTCCCGCCACTGGTGCCCCGCGAGTCACGTGAGTCGCTACGGCTTGCGCCGGTATACGCCGCAGTTCTGCGGCACGTCGGGAAGTCGGCGGCACGCGCTGCGCGCGCAGCTCTGACTTCCGGAGAAGCAGCCATCTAGAGGGTTGGGTTCTGTGTTTAAGGGGTGTCGGGGATTCAGTTTCTTTGCTGGGGTTGGGGTCACACCGAGAGGCACTAACTCTGAGGGGAGACGAAGACTTGTGACAGACAACAGTTCTCGGTGTGTGATCCAGGAAGGGAGGGGAGTGCGGTGTCCGCTTATCGAAAATTTTCTAAAAATACTCAGACGTTATTTGCCTTCTGTATTCTCATTTGCTCCCTTCCGGAATGTTTTCCAGGGATCGCATGACGTATGGTGACGCCATCGCAATGATGACTAATGGAATGTGTGCTTGTGTTCTTGTTCCTTAAAAAGAATCTCAATTTTAATTTATAATTGAGTAAATATTGATAATTATGAATTACAAAAAGCCTCTTTGGAGATGTAGTGCACAGAACGGAATATGGTAATACTTGAAGTATTTACATGGTGACAAAGCCTTTCTAGGTTTAATGTGATGATTATATCAAGGTATAGAATCACTGTTGTATGCTTAAACTAATATTGTATGCCAACTATATTTTAATAAAAATAATTTTTAAAGCTCTTCAGGGTCCTCAGTAATTTTTAAGAGTGTAGAGAGATGTTTAAGACTAAGTCAAATGCTGCTATAAAGTTGTAAAATATTATGCAAGTATTAATCTGAATGAAACCCACTCCTATAAGTATGGACAACACAGAAACAGACACCTTTCAAAAAAGAAAGTTTTGGTTGTGCAAGAAGAATAATAAAATACCTATTATATACTATAGTGCTTATAGTTAACAGTACTATATTGTATACTGAAACTTTTGCTAAGAAGGTAGATCTTGTTAAGTGTTCTTACAGAAAAATAAAGTGGGAGGAAACTTTTGGAGGTGATGGATATGCTAATAGCATTGACCAGAGTCGACTTATCTCCAAACTCATTGTGTTGTATACACTATGTACAACTTTCTTTTGTATGTCAAAAGAAATTAAGGGAAAGATAAATTACCTTTCTCAAAAATGAGAATATTGCTTTTTGGAAACCAACTAAATGGATGAATGTCACATGTGAGGGCCCATAGCGAAATTACAAAGACAGTAGTGGAAGATATTGAAATTAAAAACAAAAACTTTGGACCACTGATACAGAAGAATGCAGGAAACACTCTCCAATCACATACTCCCAATACAATCATTTATAGAACTTACTGCATAAACAAAAACTTCACATCAGAGGATCCAAGTGGGGAAGGCTAGTAAATGGTGTCTTGATGTACCAAGTAAGAAAATATGAAAGTGCCAGTTATCACAGTACATATTTTAAATTACCAATGGAACAAAACAGATGAAAAGTATACAGTAATGCCCTATGTGACGAACCAGATGCAATAAAATGATGACACTAGATTAAAGGTCATATTTATTTATTAACATTTTTTAGTCAACATCAGAAAATTACTAGGAGAAACTAAAGTAATGAATGTTTAGCATCTCTGTTTGGCTGTATTTCTCACACCATTTTTCTCATTGAGGCTTTCGCAAAGTTTCTCTATAAGACAATTCAGAATTGACTGGTGAGTTCATTATTTTCATATTTATTTTCTGTGGCTGACTGAAAAGAGATTCTCATATTGGGTTCCAACCATATAAACAGTGAGGAAACTATAATTTATGCTCTTGCGTGGTATTAACATAATGAAAGCTCATTTTTTTCAAAGTCAGGTTTACTGAAGCATAATTTTTTTCAAAGATTGTATTTATTTTAGAGAGCGGGGAAGGGAGGAAGAAAGAGATGGAGAGAAACATCAGTTTGTGGTGCCTCTCACACACCCGCTATTGGGGACCTGGCCTGCAACCCAGTCATGTGCCCTGACTGGGAATCTAACTGGCGACCCTCTGGTTCACAGGCAGCACTCAATCCACTGAGCCACACCAGCCAGGGACTGAGGCTTAATTTATATGCAGTGAGATTCATCCTTTCCAGTGTACAGTTCCATGACTTTTGACAAATGTAAACAGATGCCTAACCACCAAGATAACTTTTTCCCCGCCACTGCTGTTTAAATAAATACTTGGATACATTCTTGAAGAACAAAAGCAAACCTATATTTTATTTTACTTATCACTCTCAGTTCCAGGTCCATGAAGATCTAGATATTTCTAAAAGCAGTAAAAGAAAAACCCAGAAATGTCATTACTCTCACTTCTTTTAAAAATCATCCCCAGGACATGTTCATTGATTTTAGAGAGAAGGAAGGGTTGGGGGGAGAGACAGACAAACACTGATCGTTTGCCTCCCGTAGGCGCCCCAACCAGAGGGATCAAACCTGCAACCTATGACCCAAAGTAATACGAGAAATTAGCAATGACTGAGACAACCAGACGTTATGTCTCCTGTGAACTTAGCATGAAGTACTCAGCTCTTACTCAGTTGTTTTTTTTTAAGGTAAACTTGAATCACACCTTTAACTTCTAGTTCACAGGAAGAAAGGATTAAGCTAATAACACCGTAAGGATGGAAAGGGCAAATCTGGAAGCTGGGATGTGCTTCAAGGCACTAGCCCAGGTTCTTCTTGTCATTAAAACAAGATTTGGAAAGGCTTTTTTTTTTTTAAAGGATTGTTGCAAATTAAAAGAGATTTGAGTTATGTGTCACCCAGATGCAACACAGGGTCCTGGATTTGATCCTGGTTTAGGCTTAGAGTGTGAAGGGAATTTGGGGGGTTACATGGGAAAACTTTCTGAGTATAGACTAGAAATGAAATGCTAAAAATTTTATTGTTAATTTCATTCTATTAGATGTGATATTTTGCTATGTAAGAGAATGATCATTTTGGGGGTGCATATGGATGTGCTCATGGTAGAGTCATGCTGTCTGTCATTTCAAGAAAGCATGAGTTGAAGGAAATAAATGGACATGATGAGGTAAATTCCCTTACAAAACTTTTCAATGTTGTAACAGTAGGAAACTCTAAAACTAAGATAACTCCAGGAGGAAGGTGGAAAAGATTTGCAACAAAAATGATTAGTCTCTAAAATAAAAAGAACTAAAAAGGCAAATCAGTCAAGTACCCAGTTCTCAGTAAAGTACTACCTGAAAAATGTTTGGTTTCACTTATATCATAGTGAAATGGAAAATAAAAGCACCATGAGATACCATCTTGTACCTATTAGTGAATCTCTTTGTCCTCATAATACTGTCTCACATAAATTCTTTTTCTGGTATTGGTATTGGTACATCAGCTGTATTTTGATTAGTACTTGTCCAGCCTATCTTTTCATCCCTTGATTTTTAACCTTCGAATGTTATTTTTCATTAAGTGTATCTCTTGGAAATAGATGAGATGATTTTAATACAATTTTATAGTATCTTCCTTTTCATAGGTGAGTTTAATCTATTTTCAATTAGTATGATTCCTGATAAATTTGGGTGTATTTTTTCTATTTTTTTCCTGTGCTTTTTCTTTACTCCTTTTTCTCCTTTCCTGGTTTCTGGGTTGATTGGGCTTCCTTTATTCCCATGTTTTATTCTACTGGTTTGGGACTTACACATTCAATTTATGTTATTTTAGAGATTGCTTTTAAATTTTTTACATGCCTATTTTGAAGTGTAAAGTTAGTATCGTTAGCAACCTTCCAACAGTACAAGCACCGTAAAATGCACCCACTCCGATCTCCGATTGCTCCTTCCATCTCCTACATTATCATTGTTTAGTATCTTCATTCCTCATTGTTTTGAAATCCCCTAAATAAATTATTTTTAACCAGCATTGTTTATTTAGCTTCACCAACCTATTTGTCAGTGTCTTTGATTAGCACCACCTCTGACATCACACATTCTTCCTTCAGGGTTCATTTCACTGATTCCTTTAGCAAAACTATCAAACCCTATTGCAAAAGAAGTCTGTCCCACAGGGCTGATGTCAGAATTAAACAAAGTTTTTTTAAAAGTGCTTTATAAATTGCAAAACACTGTAAAAATATGGGATTTGTATTTTGTGCACCGAATACTTTCAGAGGGGTAATCTGGTAAAATGCAACAAAAGCTAAAAATTATCACACAAGTTCCTTAGCATAAGGAAGTATTTTTAGATATGATACAATTGTGGAATACCAGAAACAACCCAAATGGTGAAGTTAATTGTGGTACATCACTTTCATCCAATTGCAGGCAACCTTTAAAATAACAAGTGGATACATGACGAAGTATTAACAAACAGAAAAAAGATAAACACAAATTGCATGTATTCATTGATTATGGATCCATAAAGCTGTCTTCGTAAAGATTGGAAGAAATCATCAAAAAATCTGATAGCTCCTAGGCCAAAATTTTGTGTTTATTTTCCTGTAACGTTTATTCAATTAAAAATTATTTTAAACATATGCTTGAGTATTGAAAGGATGGAGGTTAGAATAAGGTCAAAAAAGGAAAGAGATACTATCATTTTACATTTAGTCACCAAAAAAATTTTGTGGCATCATGCCTAGGTGATTGATTAGAATCAGTTCATAGAAAAGTCATTTGACCTTATATGACTACACAGTTAGTAAAAACCACAGTTATCAGTTTTTAAAAACAGGTTCCCAATTTGTAAGCCATGAGTAGAGATAAAGGTTTTAGGGCAAAAGGATGGATGTTACTCACCAATACACCTTTTCCACACTATTCAAAGTCCTTTTTCTAAATGATATAATTACTAATAATTCTTAATTGTAATACCGGTTGCTAATTTTTATCTGTTCTCCTAAAATAGTGTAGATTTTAAAAAATGTCATGGTAGTTCACATTGGCTTGCTCTCTACCTGAGCTTTAAAGTTTTGCTCTTTTTTAGAAATTTTTATTTATTTATCTTTAGAGGGAAAGGGAAGGAGAGAAACATCAATGTGTGGTTGCCTCTCGTGAGTCCCCTGCCGGGAACTGGCCCGCAACCGAGGCATGTGCCCTGACTGGGAATCGAA